GGAAAACAGCAGCAAAATGCAGTTCACTCATGTTTTGAAAATTCTAACACACCTAAGCAGAACATAATTAGACTAAATTTCTTAATTTTTAAATTTTTGACAAACACATGAATACTTTTTCAATATCTGACAAACACATGGATCCTTGCCAAGTTATTTAACAATGAAAATAAAGACATGCAAGACATTTTGGTTCATTTTACAACAGATGAATAATTAAAATTTTGACAGCAATATTGGGGGTAATCTGAAGAATTTCAGACAATTTATCATGATTTTTAGGCAAAATTGAGTGAAATTATGATACTTTCTTCCCGTCTAACAATTATAATGCAGAAAAAGTAAAAATCATACATTAAAATATTTTCCGCCTCAAAATCATGAATATTTACCAAAACCTGGCAGAAAATGTTAATTCAAACCCTCTTCATCCATTCTAGACCAAAAAATCAACACAAATGGGCATGCAAAAGGGGAGAAAAGAGAGAGAGAGAGAATTGCTATAAATAGACGAACTACAATTCGTGGGTACCGAGATGATGAAATTTAATGGTGGTCTGCCTCCTATATGGTTTTATAAGTTCATATATCATCAAAATTCTTTTCTTTATAGCTTCACATTTATTTTTGCAACATTATTATAATACAGAATCAGAAAAAAATAATTACTGCAGAAATGGTGACCCTTTAAAGTATACCGGATTGCAGCTCAGGTCCATGGGCCTTTTGTTCTAGAATTGAAGATTCTTTCTTAATTTTGTGGAAATGTGAGTTCTGCGAAAAGATTTAAAGAGTTTCAGACAAGTCACATCAAAAATATTCAAAATATTGGAATATTTTTCAAAAATTGACTTTCTTTTACCTTTTTCTACAAAATGGTCCATTTTTGACACTTTGTATGCCTCAAAATGCTAATATTTCCCTATTTCTGGGAAAGTCTGAGATGAAAAGCATTTATTTCTAGAAACCTTGGCCGGTATACAGGAAGACAAGCTGCAAATTTGTTGCATTGAAGGTAACTGTAAGGAACTATAGTGAAACCTGTAAGCCCACCCCCTAAAAATGTTGGTGTGGTAACAAATCCCACTTGTGTCCACATAAGTAATACTGTTGATGGAATATGGCTAAAAGCCATGTTCTTCTATCCCTGGCTTATATACATACATATAAACACAGTTTGTTATAAGAAGTATGAATTATTTATTAAAATATGGATTGATAAATGTAAAATAAATGCTGTATTTAGGTGACAACCAGCCACTCTAATAAAAGGGTCGCAAAGCACTATTTTTTTTTAAAAAAATGGGAATATTTCAGTTTTTAAAATACTTTAACAATCAGAGGTATCCTTGAAATTACATAGTGTAAATATTATGTGGAAGCAAGTTGTTTTAATCTTTACATCAATGTCCTGACAAAATGAGATGGAAAAAGGGAGTTCTGACATAATTCAAAGCATAAAAGGGGGGTATGAAAAGGCTATTAATTAATATTTTATTGCCCTGAAAGTGCCACATTTTCAAAGATCACCACAAATAATAGATTTACATTCAAAATGTAAAACTTTAAGCTGCAAAAAACACATCTACAACATATCCATTTTGGGGTGTGGACTCATTTGGAAGAAATGTCATAGGATTACATGTTTGACCATAAACAAAAAGTCTTAGAAATCCTTGAAATCTTATATGTAACTATTTGTTTGTGTCAAATAAAATGCTCGGTTACAATTCAAGCACAAAATCAGATTACTGCTAATTTGGAGTCAACAAATGTTCAATTGAATATCCAAATATCATCTTCAAGAAAAGGGGTGGGGTGGGGAGGGTGAGCCAGTCTAAATGAAATGAAGACAGAGAAATTTCCCTGCAAACACATAGATTTTACTTTCTCGAGAAGGGAAATGCAACAATTTCAGGTTTTGAAAGATTAAAATTGTGTTAAGCCTGAGGAAAACAGCAGCAAAATGCAGTTCACTCATGTTTTGAAAATTCTAACACACCTAAGCAGAACATAATTAGACTAAATTTCTTAATTTTTAAATTTTTGACAAACACATGAATACTTTTTCAATATCTGACAAACACATGGATCCTTGCCAAGTTATTTAACAATGAAAATAAAGACATGCAAGACATTTTGGTTCATTTTACAACAGATGAATAATTAAAATTTTGACAGCAATATTGGGGGTAATCTGAAGAATTTCAGACAATTTATCATGATTTTTAGGCAAAATTGAGTGAAATTATGATACTTTCTTCCCGTCTAACAATTATAATGCAGAAAAAGTAAAAATCATACATTAAAATATTTTCCGCCTCAAAATCATGAATATTTACCAAAACCTGGCAGAAAATGTTAATTCAAACCCTCTTCATCCATTCTAGACCAAAAAATCAACACAAATGGGCATGCAAAAGGGGAGAAAAGAGAGAGAGAGAGAATTGCTATAAATAGACGAACTACAATTCGTGGGTACCGAGATGATGAAATTTAATGGTGGTCTGCCTCCTATATGGTTTTATAAGTTCATATATCATCAAAATTCTTTTCTTTATAGCTTCACATTTATTTTTGCAACATTATTATAATACAGAATCAGAAAAAAATAATTACTGCAGAAATGGTGACCCTTTAAAGTATACCGGATTGCAGCTCAGGTCCATGGGCCTTTTGTTCTAGAATTGAAGATTCTTTCTTAATTTTGTGGAAATGTGAGTTCTGCGAAAAGATTTAAAGAGTTTCAGACAAGTCACATCAAAAATATTCAAAATATTGGAATATTTTTCAAAAATTGACTTTCTTTTACCTTTTTCTACAAAATGGTCCATTTTTGACACTTTGTATGCCTCAAAATGCTAATATTTCCCTATTTCTGGGAAAGTCTGAGATGAAAAGCATTTATTTCTAGAAACCTTGGCCGGTATACAGGAAGACAAGCTGCAAATTTGTTGCATTGAAGGTAACTGTAAGGAACTATAGTGAAACCTGTAAGCCCACCCCCTAAAAATGTTGGTGTGGTAACAAATCCCACTTGTGTCCACATAAGTAATACTGTTGATGGAATATGGCTAAAAGCCATGTTCTTCTATCCCTGGCTTATATACATACATATAAACACAGTTTGTTATAAGAAGTATGAATTATTTATTAAAATATGGATTGATAAATGTAAAATAAATGCTGTATTTAGGTGACAACCAGCCACTCTAATAAAAGGGTCGCAAAGCACTATTTTTTTTTTAAAAAATGGGAATATTTCAGTTTTTAAAATACTTTAACAATCAGAGGTATCCTTGAAATTACATAGTGTAAATATTATGTGGAAGCAAGTTGTTTTAATCTTTACATCAATGTCCTGACAAAATGAGATGGAAAAAGGGAGTTCTGACATAATTCAAAGCATAAAAGGGGTATGAAAAGGCTATTAACTAATATATTATTGCCCTGTAAGTGCCACATTTTCAAAGATCACCACAAATAATAGATTTACATTCAAAATGTAAAACTTTAAGCTGCAAAAAACACATCTACAACATATCCATTTTGGGGTGTGGACTCATTTGGAAGAAATGTCATAGGATTACATGTTTGACCATAAACAAAAAGTCTTAGAAATCCTTGAAATCTTATATGTAACTATTTGTTTGTGTCAAATAAAATGCTCGGTTACAATTCAAGCACAAAATCAGATTACTGCTAATTTGGAGTCAACAAATGTTCAATTGAATATCCAAATATCATCTTCAAGAAAAGGGGTGGGGTGGGGAGGGTGAGCCAGTCTAAATGAAATGAAGACAGAGAAATTTCCCTGCAAACACATAGATTTTACTTTCTCGAGAAGGGAAATGCAACAATTTCAGGTTTTGAAAGATTAAAATTGTGTTAAGCCTGAGGAAAACAGCAGCAAAATGCAGTTCACTCATGTTTTGAAAATTCTAACACACCTAAGCAGAACATAATTAGACTAAATTTCTTAATTTTTAAATTTTTGACAAACACATGAATACTTTTTCAATATCTGACAAACACATGGATCCTTGCCAAGTTATTTAACAATGAAAATAAAGACATGCAAGACATTTTGGTTCATTTTACAACAGATGAATAATTAAAATTTTGACAGCAATATTGGGGGTAATCTGAAGAATTTCAGACAATTTATCATGATTTTTAGGCAAAATTGAGTGAAATTATGATACTTTCTTCCCGTCTAACAATTATAATGCAGAAAAAGTAAAAATCATACATTAAAATATTTTCCGCCTCAAAATCATGAATATTTACCAAAACCTGGCAGAAAATGTTAATTCAAACCCTCTTCATCCATTCTAGACCAAAAAATCAACACAAATGGGCATGCAAAAGGGGAGAAAAGAGAGAGAGAGAGAATTGCTATAAATAGACGAACTACAATTCGTGGGTACCGAGATGATGAAATTTAATGGTGGTCTGCCTCCTATATGGTTTTATAAGTTCATATATCATCAAAATTCTTTTCTTTATAGCTTCACATTTATTTTTGCAACATTATTATAATACAGAATCAGAAAAAAATAATTACTGCAGAAATGGTGACCCTTTAAAGTATACCGGATTGCAGCTCAGGTCCATGGGCCTTTTGTTCTAGAATTGAAGATTCTTTCTTAATTTTGTGGAAATGTGAGTTCTGCGAAAAGATTTAAAGAGTTTCAGACAAGTCACATCAAAAATATTCAAAATATTGGAATATTTTTCAAAAATTGACTTTCTTTTACCTTTTTCTACAAAATGGTCCATTTTTGACACTTTGTATGCCTCAAAATGCTAATATTTCCCTATTTCTGGGAAAGTCTGAGATGAAAAGCATTTATTTCTAGAAACCTTGGCCGGTATACAGGAAGACAAGCTGCAAATTTGTTGCATTGAAGGTAACTGTAAGGAACTATAGTGAAACCTGTAAGCCCACCCCCTAAAAATGTTGGTGTGGTAACAAATCCCACTTTTTGGTCTAGAATTGGAGAAAAGGGATCAAATTTGCAATTTCATAGCAGTTTTGGGTAATACTGATGATATTACAGCGGAGGGATAGGGGGTGTAAAGTGTCTTTCTGCAGAGCAATCATTGTGTCGGAAGTGAGATTTTCACCCGTCAACTTCAAATCCGTGTAGCCAAAAATCTAAACGGTCAACCCCCTACAAAATTATGATGAGGAGATTGCCAAATGTTGTCCCCATTGTGCCTATAAAGATTGGAACCAACGGAATGTTGAGCAAAAAGCTACAGCCTGTGATGTTACAGTCATTTAACATTGAAGTCAATGGGCAAATAATTGCTAGTCTGACTTCTGATGATATAAAGAAGCATGGCCGACTCGGGATGTTGATATTTTTTCAACGGCTTATTTCCTGAAGTTTTGAATGGAAAGTGTCAGAAATGGTAAGAATACTGCTTTTTTATTGCCCAGCAGTAAGTTTTTTGACTATTTGGTATCAAAATAGCCATGATTGGGGGTATCCGTTGGTTGAGTGTGAATTTTGGGTTGTAAATGTGTAACATTTTGTTCACAATGATATCAAGACATGGTTAGGTCTAAATATTAAGGCCAACTCAACTCCAGATTTGGTCTAAAGTCACGAGATGTAAACAAGACTGACCCTAACCCAAGACCCAGTCCTTACCCTAACCCTAACCCACAATCTTGTCAAAAAGCATGTAGCCTAGGCCTAAGCCAAGACCTAGTTCTGACCCTAGCCCAAACCCACAATTGTGTCAAAAAATCATGTGCCCTAACCCTATTTACATGTTGTGACCTTGAACCAAGTCTGCAGTTGGCCTTAACATTTAGACCTAACATGTTTTTGACATCATACAATGAAATGTTAACATGTACACTCCAAAATTCACACCTGTGTGACTTTTGACCAAACATGCAGTTGGCCTTAATATTTAGACCGAACCTCAAAACATGGCATCTACCTTTGAGATTGGCTTAGACTTATGTGACACTCAAGGTTTACTTTTTTACTGATTGTTAACTGATTTATTTCTATTTCCAGTTGAAACCATATTTTTTTCTTATTTTCTCACTGTTTTTTATTGCATATTTATCCCCAGCCTCCTATCATTTCAGGTGCCAGGGCAATGTTTCATAGAGTGGAATGATTGACCTCAACACAAGTATTAAAAAAAAAAGAAGCAAAACAGGTGAGATAAATGTGCATTTCATACACTTTAAGAAGTAAATCCAACCTCATCCCCACTTCTGCTGACTAATAGTAATGGGCTGGAAATTTGGTACTGCACAGGCCTGTCTTCTCCCCTTGACATTTAACTGAATGACAGAATTCCACATTTTGACCATTTTCTGGATGTCAATGACCATTTCCCTGGATAGTATTCGCCCCAGAATTCTCATTCTCATCCAAATTTAACATTTCAGGTCTACATCTCAAAACCTGATCTCTTCCTGGACTGGCTTTAGGAGAACGATGATGCATATCAATTTCATCCCTGATCTCTATGACACCTGTGGTGGAAGTGGAGGGCAAATCGTAATCAGTTTGGGTTCCAGCCCCGAGGACCTCTGTAAACTTTGCTTTTTGGTGATGACTTAATTTCCGAGCTTGAAAAGGACGCTTGTGTGTTTATCATGGCCTCTCATATTGGAAGATAACATTAATGGCTTGTGTGTTGATCGACGGTTGTGCATATCTCTGGGTCAGGAAAGTTGTAGGCACCATCGCCATTGTAAATAATTTGACAGGCCCGAGTGAACGGGGCGACCTATGATTGGTCAGCAATGTATCAGATTCCATACCGGGGGGTGGGGATGAAAAAACTGTTGTAGTGTTACATAATCAGATTATTTCAACTTACTTATCCTGTAGAAATACAGCTATATAGGAGATATTTTGAAATTCATAGGCACTGCATGTTTCAACATTTTAGATTTGACCACAATCTGGCACTTGAAACTATGTTAACAGAGAAAAACTGTGTGGTTTTCGATGAAAGTGTTAAAAGTCTAATATTGCATCATGATTACTGTTTTAAAGTATTTTCGTGTTTGATTTATATTGAATTCATCTCATCTTTTTGAAGAATGCATTTATGTTCAAAAATAAAAATGTTCTGTGGAATTCAAAATTCATGTGCTTTTAAATTATCAGATTCCAAACTGGGGGGTAGGGATCAAAAAACTGTTGTAGTGTTACATAATCAGATTATTTCAACTTACGTATCCTATGGAAATACAGCTATATAGGAGATATTTTAAAATTGATAGGCACTGCATGTTTCAACATTTTAGATTTGACCACAATTTGGCACTTGAAACTACGTTAACAGAGAAAAACTGTGTGGTTTTCGATGAAAGTGTTAAAAAGTCTAATATTGCATCATGATTACTGTTTTAAAGTATTTTCGTGTTTGATTTATATTGAATTGTATTTAGAAAACGGAGGAAACCGAATGACCCAGCGAAAAAACTCAAGAGATTGGACAGGCGACTCTACTCCTTGAAATTGAAACCATGCCACTTAACACAATGACAGACCCTGTGATTTCATGCGCATGCATTACCTACTAGACCATTCCCCCCAGCCCCACCCCATATCGAATAAAAGTATGACTTATTTCAAATATGATATTTACATATAAAGAAAGTAGAGAGACTTCAATCTTACTAGATAAATACTAGATTACCTGAAATGAAATGGGGTTTAAAGACAACGTCCTACTGGTCAGCTCCGACTGGTCTAATGCATTGTGCTAAGTGAAAATGTTTGTCTGGGCAGCGACACTATGGCCTACTCTCATACCGAATTCAAACTGCCAAGAGAACTTTTATGTGTACGCCAATGTGTACATTGGATCTCAGGGGAAACCACTCTGCAAAATCAAGATGAGCTTTCTCGGTCAACCCCAAGAGATAACCTGTGGCCTCCATGCTAGTGTGCCAGCACCTAATTTACTCAGTCACCATGGCCGTCTTCTAATTACTGCGACAGTGAAACCATGTGACAAACAAGGATTATTAAGATAGACTTTTACGGCTTGGTAGTTCCTTGGGATTAAAACTTTTGATACATATAGATACATTAGTTTCAATTTCATATCACACAGTTTGTATATATGGTAAGGTAGCTTTAATCGTAAATTACATATATCATGTATTTATTTTTTCAGTTTCAATATTGGATGTATATGCAAATCACCCAGAAAAAGATCATGTAATAACAAAAGAAATTATAAAAGAAAAAAAGGAAGAAGAAATGGCTGGAAAAAATGATGATAGAGTAGCTTTTTCTTGGTGGGTAACTATTCAATTCTAATAGAAAAGATTGTTATGCTATTTTGAAATCTAAAATTCAGTTTAGTATAGTAAAACTGTACACGTCATGTATGAGCAGAGACAGAATCTTAGTTATATGTAGATATCACTGTCTCATCTGTGGCAAAGCAAACCAACACATGAAACAAAACAAATGTAATTAAAGTAACATTTTTTTAATTAATCAAAACTGTCTAGTCAATTTAAGCCAACTAATACATTGCCATTTTTTTTTCAGTTACCCACCTCGGAAGATCAAGTTGGAAAGGGCTATTGATATTGTGGAGACGTTTTCTCACAGATCTTGCTTATCAGACAAAGACTATGTAAGTACCATGCATATTTGCTTTTTAAATCAGGAACTGGTTCTATACACTTGGTGGGGGGGGGGGGGGGGGTTGGATGGAGGTTAAACCCCATTTCTCTCTCTCTCTCCTAAATATTGAGATTTTTGTTTACTTTTAAACTGCATATATTCAAGGTATCAGGAGCTTTTTATGGCTCCCGTACAATTTTATAAACATGAAGGACTGTACCATTTGAATATTAAGCCATCAAATTATTTTATAATTTTGAAAATGAAATGAAATGGGGTTTAACATCCTACTGTTTTTCTCATAAATTGGGCTAATGAAGACGGGCATACGCCATACAGTGTGCTATGAAGGGAATTTTGCCCGGGCAGCGTCGCTACAGCCTACTCTTATATCGAATTCCAATTGCCAAGGAATCTTTTATGTGCACGCCAATGTGTACTCGGGACCTCGGTTTTTCGTCCCATCCGAACGACTAGACAGCTGTCCTTGTCAGGTCCTCCGTCCTGTATCACTGACAAGGGGAAAACACGCAAAATGTAAGTAACATATATATTTGTATTTTTAATCAGGAAGTACTTCTATACACTTGCTTGGTAATCTAGTTATTCTTCTTGGGGCAATGCCTAGGACTCTGCTGTTTCAAGTACTTGGCATGCTTGATTTTTGCCAATCACCTCCATTGATTTCCTTCAAGTTGCGATAGGCCCTACATGTATGTGTATTTTTACAGTAAATAGCAGTAAAATAATGATGGACAGTATTTTACTTTCAAATAGATTTCAGTAGATTTTAAAGGGTAATATCCAATTTGTTGTCAATGGAAATAAAATAAGAATGGGTCCAAAAATAATTAGACATTACGCAAAGTTGAAACCAAATAGAGACTCGGTCTCGATGTGGCAAAATAAATTGTTTATTTAAACGTTGTGAACCATAGAAAGTATTCTTATCTCCTACTTTTTATTTTTTAGGCTGGAACACCATTGAAAGAGTATTTGCTGTATGATAACAACAAGAAAACCCAAGCATCAATTTATTTTATACTTCTGGGAAAGAATGCATTTGACCCAATTTTTAAATATTTATTTTTTGTTATTAATGTTAAATTTTCTTCCAAAACACAATTAGATTTTAATTCTCTTCAGAAATGTATGTATAATATAGCAAGTAAAGTGGCATATAAATCACTTAGAATTTGGTCAGAAATCATAAAGTTAAATACTTTATGATTTCTGACCAAATTACTAGAAACCAAATGTAGATCAAATACACCCAGAATTACAAAAAACCTTGACCTACATAAAGGTGACTTTCCCTTGCTTATGAAATGAAATACGGTTTAGTATCCTACTTTTCTGTGTTCTTAGAGTGATTCTGCCCTACACCCTACTCTTATATCAAATATTTCAACTGTCAAGGGTTCTTTAACGGGAACCGGGGGGGGGGGGCAATGATTAACACGCACACATTTGATCAGGAAGTCTGTCATTGAGTCAAATAATTCAATTGTCAAGGCTTCTTCTAAGTGAACGCAGTGGGGATGGTTTCGATTCCGGGAATGGGGGAGGGGGTGGTGGATGGCCGAATGGTAAGCATGTGCGTGCGGTATCATACGGCCTGTCATTGAGTCAACTGGCGTGGTTTCGAATCCCCGGTTGTACGTGACAAGGAGTAGGGTCGCCTGTCCAATCTTGTGGGTTTTCTACGGGACCTACGGTTTCCTCCCACTGCTAAAGACCCCTATGCGCAACGAATTATTGAAATAAAATTAAACCATATGTTAATCCCGAAATGACCTAGTTTGTGTCAAGTGGACGTTAAACCCCATTTCTCTCTCTCTCTCTTTCGATTCCGGGCTTGTACCCAATTATCCCTTGCCATATCCAAGACTACTGACAAGTGGGAACTATGCCGGAAAATCCAGTTGAAATTTCTCGGCCAACACCTTATACTCACTGAACCACTGTGGCTTATGACTTGTGATTGTATATAAATTTTTTGTACATATGATATTTTTTTATTTCAATCCTGTAATCTTGATGCTTTGCTTCTTTTATTTACAAAATATTCATTTTGTTTGGGTTTTTTTAATGAGGAAAAGGTTTTACATCATTTTATTACTCCTGCAAAATAGTGCATTTTTCTTTTGTTAGTTTTCTGTGTATATTAGTTATTTCTATATGTCTCACAAATCACTTGTAGTGTGATTTTGTAGCACTTTTCAGTTTTTGAAATTGTTTCAATTTAGTGCATAATTAATCTTAGTGCTTGGTTTGGATGTTATTAAATTTAGATATTATTTGAATTATATATTTTGGAGTATGGGGTAGGGATACTGTGTACATATCTTTATATTCTCAGTTCTTGTTTTGGGGTAAAGAACAATTTATATAGCTATTTTATATTTTGTGATAGGTAAAGTGTGTGGGGTTAAGAACAATTTAAATAGCTATGTTATATTTTGTGATGGGTAAAGTGGGGTGTGTGTGTGTGTTTGTGTGAAATTGCTTTATTTTACACCCGTTTGTTGTAATCCGTATATTGTCTTATACCACGTAGGGTCTTTTTAAAAGGGGTACAGTAAAATAACTTGTACACAGTACTATTAGCCATATGATCATTAACGGACCGATCAGCTATCTGTATAGTAATTTATTTTAATATAAAGTGTAAATATGGCCTATAAAAACATCAAAATGGATGAAATAATCAACATAATTTGCAAAATTTGCTTTAAATAATGTAAAATCTCTATAATTAAGAAGTCCGTGGTACTAGAGCAGCGTACCACATTTCCTTTGTATAGAACCAGTGAGGCGAGCGTAGCGTGGTATTTTGAAGCGTAGTATTTCGCCCTGCCATTTTGTCGGGCAGTTTCAGTTCAATTGTCACGAAAATCGAACCCCACGGTCATTATGGTGTAACATTGATATATTAAAACGTTTTTGTTTTTAAATCGGATAAAAAGTGTGACCCCTAGACGATTCACAAGCTTAAAATGCCATTTTCCGTACAGGGGCCATAAGCCAAGAAGGTGCGCTCCAATATGCGCGAATATCTAAAAAGGAACGAGATCTGTGAGTTGTGGACATCTATAGAGTGTCCACAAGCCAAAACGTGATTTTTCGTACAATCAATGACCATAATCCACGAAGTTACGGTCCGATACATGCCAATATCGAAAGCAACCGCGAGTTGTTGGAGATCAAGCTCTAAGTCAAGTTTTGTCAAAATCTCATAAAATTGTGACATGCAGAGTCTCCACAAACAAAATATGAAAGGAAAGGGACATAACGACGAAAATGTAATAACCTTGGAATTACATAATTTTACACTATTTGCATATGGGGAGCAGCCATTTTGTCGGGCAGTTTCGTGAAATTGAACTCATCTGTCATAATGGTTGTAACACTTTAACACTATTAGCGTAAATGGGGCGACCATTTTAATGAGAAACGTCGGTCCAATTTTCACGAAATTCGAACTCAGCTGCAATTTTGGTGTAATGGTGGTATGTTTGAACGTTTTTTTTTTAATCAAATATTAATTGTGACCTCTAAAAGGTTCAGAAGCCAACAACACATTTTTACGTACAATTAGGGACTTTAATCAAGGACGTTACAGTCCGATATGTGCATATATCGAAAGGAACCAAGATCTATGGTTTATAAACATGCATTTCAAGTTTCATTAAAATCGGATAAAAACGTTGACCTCTAGATGGTCCACAACCGTGATATTACGGGTACAAGTAGAAGCGACTATTTTGTCAGACAATTTCGGTCCAATTTTCACGAAATTCGAACTCAACTCTCATTATGCTGTAACGGTGATTTATCTATATTTTTAAAATCAGATAAAAATTGTGACATATAGAGTGCCAACAAGCTAGAAAAGCGACTTGTCATACAATCTGGGTCATAATCCGACAGGATTACCGACAGGATCCGAGATCATTTGGAGATAAACCAAATTGAGAATTGTGAATATATAATATACCGCCATACTCCTCCGTAAAACGAGACAGTTGTCCAGGGGACAGCCTATATACATGTATTTAGAGATGTACTGCGCGAGAATGGAATGACTTTCATATTTTTCCTTTTTATATCCACTTAAATTTAATAATCGCCCAAACAATCTGTGGTGGGGGGGGGGGGATCGTTCTACAGCAACCCCCCCCCCCCCCCCGACAGGTACACTTATGCCCCCCACAACGTGTCTCGGAAAGGCCCCCCATAACGCCTGAACACCATCCAGAATCGAAATATAATCGTTCTTTAACGTACACACAAACCACCCGACTATTTGAACCAATGTCCAAATATAAATGCCGAATTGGTAGTTAGTGGAAGTGTGCATACATTGCATTTCCGAGGCGAGGGAGTAAGAAGTCGAGATTGTGACGAAGCGAGAGTGCGAGAACGCGAGAGAGCGAGAAATACGCAAAGGCGAGAACACGAGTGAGCGAGAAGTCGAGGGCGAGAAGTCGAGAAGTGAAGGGCGAGAGTGCGAGAACACGAGGATTTTCAAAGGCGAGAACTTTTCTCGCGTTCTTGCACTCTCGCCCTCGACTTTTCGCTCCCTCGACTTCTCGCTCACTCGTGTTCTCGCCCTCGTCATCTCGTTCCCTCGCATTCTCGCCATCGACGTAGCGCGGCGAGAAGTCGAGATTATGAAAAGGCCGCAATAGGCTTCCATAAATTGGCTATACAAAACAGTAGTCTACTAATATAAACTAGTAACTTATAACAATATACTATAATGTATAATCAATAAACCCCAAAGTTGAAACGATTTCCCTTTGTTTCATATTTATTTTATATTTTTAGTTACATTTCGTCGCGTTATCAGTCATATTGTGAAATCAGTACACGCTTGAGCACAAGCTTGATTCCAAAGTTATTTAATATTTATTCCATTCATTTGCTCACATATCTCGAACATCTAACTTCGTCGCCTTGCTCATGTACATTTTGTCGTACATTCTCTGTTTCATATAACACATACCACAGTTTCCTACTTGTTTTATATTTTTAGTTGCATTAAGTCACGTTATCAGTAACATTGTGAAATCAGTACACGCTCGAGCACAAGCTCGATTCGAAAGTTGTTTAATAGTTATTCAATTCATTTGCTCACATATTTCGAAGATCTGACTTTGCTCATACACTTTTTGTCTCACATTCTCTGTTTCATACAACACATACCACGGTGAACAATCACATTGGCTAAATACTGCAAAAACGTCTATATAACTATACATTTTATCCCCCCCCTCTTTTTTCAGACCTCTACTGTATCTCGTCTTAACAGCGTTCTTATCTTGTCCCATTTGCACACCGTCCACACAAACAGTTTTTTCCCCTTACCCCCACCACCACTCTTGGAACATGGATAGGTCCCGCACCAGACGTCCTCTCCTTCCGACGCCCACTCATATACGAATGGAATGGCCACAGCTCCGGAACACATTCCAACCGCCACCAGGCCTTTACCAACCACCACCAGGCTTTCACCAACCACCACCTGGATTTCACCAACCACAACCACCACCTGGTTTTCACCAACCACCACCTGGTTTTCACCAACCACCACCTGGATTCCGCTATCAGCGCCAACCAACTCAACAACCAAACTAGCGCCAACCAAATCGACAACCAAACCAGCGCCAACCACCTCCAGAGAATGCAGGTATCGTTATAACCTATTTCCAGGTCCTGCAATGCCTCCACCATTTGACAATTATGGAGAGTCAGGAGAATGGAACACCCACCAGAAGGTTCAATTAGAAGATCCAAGACCTGAACAAGTTCGTGAAGTCGGCCATGAAGACGCACACCATAGTCACTACAATTGAGACATTGAACTTGAAATGATCCAAGGACGTCACCTCATCATTGTCGGCACACTACCGAGCCATGTTGTACTTCAGGATAGTGTGAAGACAGAGTTCCATCGCCTCCTGTGCACGGTCTCTAAAACTGTTACACACCCTCCCCCGTCACCAATACACATTACACACAACCTTCTCCGGGACACACCAAAACGAAACGCACCAAACAAGAGAAAATTATCCCCTAGAGAAGGCACATGCATTAACACTCCCTCGAAGCGTGCAGCTAGATCAACCAGTTCGCCCAAGATTGTGTCTGGCTCACCCACTTCCTCGGGATCTATATCGCCACTGAACGCGCTTGTCAACTGTCTGTCATGTAGATCGCCCACCATTCCTAACCCTAGAATCACCACCAGATCTTCCATCAGATGTAGACGTTCACTCAACCTATCCCTAAAGAGACCCCACAGCTACAAAGGTAAAGACGAGAAGGATTTATGGCACCTACCAGCAGCCAGGGCAAAGACCCTGGTTATTGGATCCTCAAACCTGGCTAGGATTGTAATCTTCCATCGGGGACTGGTAGATCCATAGCTATTCTGGAGCCAAGATCAGCCACATCAAACAGATCCTCCAGAACTACATGGGACCTGCACCAGCAGAATTAGTGATACATGTCGGGCTCAACAACAGGGAGGAAAGTGGACCAATGATACACACGCAGATGCTAGATCTACTCAAAGTGACCAGAGCAGCTTTCCCAACAACCAAGCTCTTCACCAATCAAATCCCCACTTCTTCCCGACTACGACAAGAAAATCCAGCTACAACCAATTGATCTCCACTGCACCTTCACCAAACGCCACCACACTACCAAACTTCCATGGCAAAATTGAACTGAAAGATAACGACGCCATCCACTGGAGCCCGGTCACGGCCAGAAAGATCATCAACTGCTGGATGAGGAATTTGATCTAGGATTAGGGAAAAGAAATGCGAAGCCGTCTTTAGGAGAGGCGGTTGTCAATTTGAGCGACAGACTTCTCAGCCCCCTACAAATGAACATTCTTGACAGAGGCCTTAAATTCATCCCAACCCCCACATTAACATCCATAGACCTCATCACCCAGGCAACCGATCGCTTCCAAAGGACCCTTTCGCTAACTTATTTTTTTAGGAACAAACCCGGCAGAGGTAAAAAAAAACATTCACAGAAAAATCCACATGAAAACCACCTAAAAAGTCTTTATCACCGATCATCTTAAAAACTTTCGACGAAATGAACACAGAAATATCATCCCGTGAACCACAATCACAGAAACAAAATCTCAACAAAAACAGCATTAAACACCCTCAAAAATAACAAAAACATAATAATCAAGTAAAGCGACAAAGGTTCGTGTTGTGTCATAATGAATCGCGCAGACAGAGGCAGAAAAACAACTAAATAATCATAAACATTACACTAAATTAGACCAACCCATCTTTAAGGACACTACAACCTTAATAAACAACATCTTACATGAATTGCAAGACAAGGAATACATAACAGCAAAACAATATGATTATCTATCCGCTAAATCTGACTGTCGGCAATGACATCTCTTTACGCTACCAAAAATACATAAAAATCCAGAAACGGAATGGTTTATACCTAATAAAATACCCAAGGG